AGACTGGGTGTGTTCTGGGCTTTAGTCTGCAGCTTCCTGCTGTTCTGGGAAAACTGAAGATGTATAACATCTGTCCTAACCTCCTAAAAGTAGTTTGATATTTTTTGGCTTTAGCTGCAGCAGCAACGTTCAAAATGAACCTGTAGTCCAAAAACAACAACAAATATAAAATCCATTCAACTGTAGAAAAGTAAATATAGAATAAATAAATCAAATAAAACTAAAAAAGCTTCCCTTTTCTAAAAGGACTTTCCATATATACTATATTTATATAGAAATCATTATGCTGGAACAGAGACGTACCTAGAACATACGGGGCTGGGATCCCCGGGGTGGGCACCTCTGGGCTTAAGGTCTCTATTTGTGCTGCAGGCCTACCGTCTGAACAGGGCGTCTGCAGAGCTGGCCAGGAGGGCCGCCGATGATGTCACCAAGCAGTCAGGTAAGCTGAGTGCCTCGTTCAGGACGACGTCCCGTCCAGTCGGGTGAGGGGACCAACATCTACTGTGTTTGTTCTCAGGGTGGAAACGCTATGTGGCCGGGGCCCTGGGCCCCACCAATAAGACCCTCTCTGTGTCGCCTTCAGTAGAGAAACCCGATTACAGGAACATAAGTAAGAGTTTAGCTGCTCTCTTTGCTCTCAGTGCGCATCGCTGCTGATCCAGATCCGGGTCCAGATCCGGATTCTGATCCAGACTGTCCTCCTTGCTGTCTCCTGATGCAGCGTTCGATGAGCTGGTGGAGGCCTACACCGAGCAGGCCCGCGGTCTGCTGGACGGAGGAGCAGACATCCTTCTGGTTGAAACCGTCTTTGACACGGCCAACGCCAAGGTAACCTGAGAATGAAGTTGCCATGGAAACGTGGAAGAAAGTTCCTTTTCACACAATTAAGTAATAATTCTGTTTATGTATGTAGAGGTTTTCCTTTCAACATCGCTGTAAATATTTTGACCTTCTGGGAGCCATATCCGTAAGCAGGGTTACAGACTAAGCTGTGGGCTAACTTCCTGCTTACCCTGGCCTCTATGGAGTGAATGTTGTTCCATTATTGTTGCAAACAAATAACATGTTTCGTAAATTGAAATTGGGGGGTGGGGGGGATAGATCCAGAAAAGAAAAATGTAAAAACTTCAAAAATTCTTTTAGATGAATTAGCTGTTTTCTGTTATTCAGTTATTCTATTTATTATTTATTTCTTTTTCATGTTTAAGTTTTCTTTAAAATTGCTTTTTTTTCCCCAGAGAAATTATAATTTATAATTTCTAAATATGGAAGACGATAACGGCCACTGGAAAATGATACAAAAAGTTTACAGATTGTTTTTTAATTTTAGTTTATAATGGGAAAAAAATCTCAGAAATGTTCTCATATTAAACTTAAAATCAGTTAGTCTGCAAAAAATAAAAAAAAAATTCCGGTGGCTATAATCTTCTTCCATAGATAAGTCTTTATTTTTATTCAAAATTGCATTTTTCCAGATCCCATTCTCTGGAGTGAAGAGCCATTTTTATTGGGAGTTTTATTTTAAGCTAAAAAAGTAAAAAAAAAAAATTAATTTACAAAGTTTTTTGTATTTAGAGGATGCAGTCGCTGGATTTGAACTCACAGCCAGTTTGGCGCGAAGAAAAAAAAATAACGAAACTCTTGAGCTCTGCTCAGTCTGTGTCATGTGATGAAAAGCGCGTAATTTGATTGGCTAAAAGCTGCCGACTCGATCCGGCGCCGAATGCTCTGACTCGCACCAGAAGGTCGACATGTTTACATTTTAAAGGGGGATTTTTTAGCAGTTGAAAGCATAAAACTCCTGGATGAAAATCCACATGACTACCATTAGACAGAACATCCAAAACACCATACAAGCTTTTCTAACTTTAATGATCATTGTGGCACTGATGTGATTTTTCCTTCTCTCTGCCCACAGGCCGCTCTGTTCGCCATCGACCTGCTGTTTGAAAAGACCCACCGAAGGACGCCCATATTGGTACGTCTGTCGCTCTTTACTCTAATTATGACCTGAAGCTTCCAAACCACTGTTTTTAAATCCGTGAAAGTTTGTCAAAGATGTTTTTCCTCAAACTGATTTTTCAGCTTTTCCTTTTTCAGTTTAATGGTAGAAATGTTGTTCTCGTCTCTAAACCTTAAACTAATTTTTCTTTTAAGGCGTCTTAGAGCTCTGAGTCACTCTATGACATGTATAATAAATGAGTTTAATAAATGTAGAAGGTTATTCTTTGGCCATGATGTATGGAGTGAGTTTTGCCACATTATTGTTGCAAGATCCCTTTTTGTAAAAGGAAATTTGAAAAAAAAAAAAGTAACTTTGCTTTTATTTCTCTTATGTTTTTCAAATTTCTTTTTCAGATTGAATTTTATCATATCTCATTTCACATTTTCTTCACTTCCAGCCCCATCCAGATACTCCCTGTCCAATCGGAATGTTGTTGCTAACGTCCAGTAGACCAATAGAAATGCATTTCTGCTCCTCACTCCAGAGGGAAGTCTATGGAGAGAATTTAGTCATTTGTAAATAATTTAATCATTTGTAAATATAATTGTGTGCATAACTTCAACTACTTTAAAATGGTTGTTCAAATATAGACTCTGAAATTATGAAAACAAATTAAAAATACATTAAATTCTTGCACACAAATCGCATGAAACACGCAGACCAAACCACAGTAACACATTAATCAGGTTATAAGGATTTCTTGCTTTCATAGGACTTCCTGTTACATGGTGCGTTTGAATGCTGGTGGAAAACTGGGTCATGAAATAATATAAAATAAACTTGAAAAAATAAATTGAGAAAACAGCAGAGTTACTTTTACAACCTTATTTTGATTAATAAATTTCATCACTGATTGCATTTTTTTTCTACATTTCTCTTTACAAAACCTGTTCTTTCCTTGTTCTTTGAAGTCTAGGTTAAAACCTGTTAGTTTGGAGCTGCCTTCGATGTTAAACTGTTAACTCAGGGATCCGTAGTTTAAGGTTATGGTCCAACTGTTTGATTTGCTTTACTACCTGCTTTTGTTTTTTCTTCTATTTTATTGTATAATTCATATAAAGCACTTTAAGTTGTGCTTTAGAAATGAACTTGCCTTGCAACAATAATGGAGCAAAATTCCCACCATAATTTTGAAGGGATTATTTAGTAAATATGTTTTTATTTTAGAGCTGAAACTATTATTAAATTGATTAATCTGTCTATTTTTTTTCCCCCATTTATAGTCTGATAGCCAAAGGCTCCTTAGAGATGATTTTTTTTAAGTTGGAACCAGGTGAAAATAAAACTTTCCCACTTGAAGAGTTCTGGATTATAGAGCCAGATTGACAGATGAAAACGATTCTTTCCTTAAAGCTATAGAGGACGATCTTTTATTTCCGGGTGGATCATCTCAATCAGTGGTCCTCCTAACTGTCAATAATTCTGGTAATGTTCCCGTAAGGCCATCCTACGTTCTCGTCCCGTTAGCTATCTTTTTCTTCCAGGCGTATATCTGTGTTGAGCTACGGTTTCAGACGGTCATTGAAGCTCACCTTTCTCACTGCGGTTCTTTGAAAATGGCCGAGAGTCGGAAGAGAAAGTGTCTACGAAGTGGATGAGAAGTAAAAGGCCTCAGAACAGGCAGATATATCCCAGAATGCTTTGCGCTGAGAGCTCTCCTCCCAAAGCATTATGGGATTTGCTGTCACAGCGGCCACTAATAAAGATGATGCAGGTGTAGCGTATATGCATGTTATCAGAAGACAAGGTTTCGGTTAAGGAGGTGTTGAAAGTAAATATTGACACTGAGGCAGATCCTTATATTTAGTGTTGGTACCATATATTATGTGAAAACAACAACAACCAAAAATATTTACAATCTGCAGAAAAAAATACATTGGTTTAATACATTGCACTTTAGAAAAACTCGGTTTTGTAGACTCAGTAGTTCACAGAATTAACAAAATACAGAAACAAATTCTGCAATATTAAAAGATGAACGCTAAATGCTTCATCCAGATGAAGAGAACAATCACTTGGATGCAAATAGTTCATGATCAAAGTTTTAGCAAATGGCCATCGCTAAGTGTGTGTGTGTGTATAAATGACAGTGGAGGAGGTAACCAAAGTTGCAGCTTCCTACCAGACCCTCATGGTGAGGATGTTATGAGACAGGTTCTGTTCCAGGTAGTTGCTCGCCATCGATTGGTCCATACCTGGCCTCACCTGGCCTGTATTAAATAACCAGGACCCATGGGTTAACAAGTAGTCATTTAAAATCAGTTACAAGCGAATTTTAACTTGTATATTTTATGTTCTCTGTACACAACATTCAAAGTAGGTCATAAATTGTTAAAATGACAAAGACTTGTAAAACATTACTTAATTGTTATAAACTTTAATTATTAGGAGTATACATAATATTCCATTCAATACAATTGTTAATCTTGGTTTTCAGTGTATAAATAAACCATTTAAATACTTAAAATCACAGCATCAAGAACAAACTGCTGGGTCTGCATCATTCGTTTAACTCAAAACTCAATAGGAGCAAATGGAGAGCAATTGCTACTAGCTATGCTAATGCTACTAGATGGCTAATGCTGTTAGCATTGAGCTAGCAAAACATTTCAACATAATTTATAGAATGGCTAATAGCAACATGCTAGTGGACAAAACAAACAGACTCACCAATCGGTCTCCGCCAAGTGACGTCAATTGTTTACCTCGGGCGCGGTACACTATGCCTTTTCCACCTAAAATGGCGTCTTAGCAACAAATGTCA